GAAAAACTTACTTATTCTATCATACTGCCATTTTTGTTTTTGGTTTTTCCTGATGATCTTTAATCAGTTTTCTTTTAATGTTTTTTTTTCTTTAGGTGAATAATTTGATCAAAACAACGTTAGGTCTTTATGGTAAGATCAATTTCTTGGTAAACAATGGAGGAGGCCAGTTCCTGTCTCCTGCTGAACAAATCACTTCAAAAGGATGGCATGCTGTGATTGAAACCAACTTGACAGGAACCTTCTATATGTGCAAAGCAGGCAAGTGGGATCAATAACCTGGGAAATCATGGTACATTTATTCTGAAATCTCAGAATACCCTGAAAGAGAAAGTGGGAGGGACCCGCGAGCCATCTGGCATCAACATTTACGGCCCTGATTTTTTTATATAGGTTTGTTCTTGTTGCTCAGTGTTGTTGAATCAGTTCTGTTCTGACTCACAGCGACCTTATATATAGGGTTTCCAAGTAGCAGCTGGTGGGTTTGAACTGCTGACCTTGTGGTTTGCAGTTCAGTGCTGATCCTACAGCACCACACCAGGAGTCCTCTCACACAGGTGTAGGGATGCAAATTGACACAATGATTTGGCAATATTTGTAAAATTTTATTACCCTTTGGTCTTACCTTATGTTTAGGGAGTGTATACTGAGAAAATTCTTGATCTGTGCAAAGATTGCGTTACATAGTTGTTAATAAAATTAGAGAAAATGCTCATACTTAATTTGTTTTTAAGATATGAATGTGTTCATGTGTTATAAGGACCAATTTATTAATTCTCTTCTGGGAGCATACCAGAGACAGAGTCCCACACTTTCTGAGTAACACTTTTTAACTTATATGTGTAGCCTTTGGGTTAAAGGTTATGTTTCATAGGCAGCAATATTAAACTCCTGAAGTTGGGTTTTATGGGCTCCCTTATTAATTAACCAAGATAGTTGTAGGATGACAAGATGTAGTCCCATGGGATTTCCAAGGCTGTAAATCTTTATGAAAGTTGACTGCCACGTGCTTCAAGTTGCTGACCCTTCTGCTTAGGGGCGGAACACTTTAACCATTGCTCCACCAAGGCTCCTCTTTAAGTTAAAGGTCTTGCAAACATTCTTAACCTTCATCTTCTTCTAACAGTATAAAAGCTCTATACTAGTTGTGATACAGGATCTTGAACAAAACAGGCTCATTAATAGTATAGAACTTTACTTCTCCCTTACAGAAACATTTCTGGTAGTCTAGGGGTACTGCTGCTGCTGGGGACCGCTGAGTCAGTTCCAACTCAGAGTGACCCTTATAGGGTTCCCGAGGCTGTACATTTTTATGGGAACAGAAAACTTCATTTTTTCCCTGCGTAATGGCTGGATTCAGACCTGTGGGCCTTGGGGTCAGCAGCCCATTGCATAACTCACTACGCTCCTTTAGAAATAGTGTTAAAAAACAAACAAACAAAAACCCAAGCTAGTTGCCATCTTGACAATTCTGCTTCTCCATATGTGAGAGTAGAACTGTGCTCCACGGAGTTTTTAATGACTGATTTTTCAGAAGTAGATCACCAGACCTTTCTTTTGAGTGCCTCTAGGTGGACTTTCAGTTAGCACCCAAGGATTTAACCATTTGCACCACCCAAGGACGTCCACCCAAGGACTAGGGCTGTTGTTGTTGCTAAGTACTGTTCTATCAGTTCCAACTCACAGGCACCCTATAGATAGGGTTCTTCAGGAGTAGCTGGTGAGTTTGAACTGCCAACCCTGGGATATGCAGTCCAGTGCTGATCCTACAACACCACACCAGGAGTATAATAGTAATAATTCGGGACTGAGGATCATTCTTCTTGGACTATTCTTCTTGACATATAGCATGGATAAACCTCACATACATTATACTAGGTGAAAGAAGCTAGTCAAAAAGATCACATATTGTATGATTCCATGTATGTAATGTTCGAAAAGATGAATCTATAGAAACAGAAAGTAGATGAGTGTTTGCCTTGGGGTGGTTCGCAAAAAGGTAAGTGGAAACTTTTGGGGGGGTCAGGAAATGCTCTAAAACTGGGTTGTGGTGATAGATGTGCATCTTCTATTTTTAAATGGATCCAACTGCACATTTAGAATGGTTGAATTTTATGTTGTGTAAATTATACCTCAACAAGGCTTTTTCTTAAAAAAATAAAATGTAAGATGTGTCAGGCTGGCAGCATGCTGGGACAAGATTTGATTGGCCTGTCATTGTATCCTACAGTTTACAACTCCTGGATGAAAGAGCATGGAGGGTCTATTGTCAATATCACCGTCATTACTAGTTATGGATTTCCGTATGCTTCGTAAGCATTTTTATCTATTTCTTCTTTGTTTGAGAGTGTTGTTCTCTGATTGTGGGAAACTGAGGTAAGGAAATGTGGATCAAGATCACATCATAACTTTTATCTGAACTTTTAAAACTTTATGAAGCATTTTTCTTTATTTAAAATTTAAAAACATTATTCTAAACCATTGTCATTCAGATTAAGGATGCCAGATTTACCAAGAAAAGAAAGCACAGGGTGCCCATTTAAATAATTTTTTACTATAAATATATGTAAAATATAGCAAGCTAAGTGATACTGAAATTCAAATTCTAGTTTGTTTATCTGAAATTAAAATTTAACTGAGTGCTCTGTATTTTTATCTGGCAGTCCTAATCTAGATATTACTAAACTAGGTATTAGTATTTGGGGACAGTCTTCATTACAGTGTGAAATAAAAATCAAATCTGTGTGTTAATTTAGATTTGAATTTAGATGTGAATTTAATATTCAGTTTGAGACTGGACTGTTAGATTGTTGTTGTTGTTGTTGTTAGGTGCCGTGGAGTCGGTTCCGACTCATAGCGACCCTGTACAGGGTTTCCGGGGCTGTAAATCTTTAAGGGAGCAGAAAGCCTCATCTTTCTCCCGCGGAACAGCTGGTAGTTTACTCCTAACAAATGACCCAGAATTTTTTTTCTAAAAGTCTCTAAGGTTTTATACTTCTCTTTTTAAATTTTTATTATGAATTAGATGAAGATTTACACAACAAACCAATTTCTTATTCAACAATTCCTACACATTTTGTTTCATGTCATTGATGGCGACCCCCACAATGCGACATCAGTCATCCGACTTCCTTCCTGTGCTTCCCATTTCCATTCCTCATTGCTTGCTAACCCTTTCTAACTTCTTGTTGAGTGTTGTCCTTGGGTAAAAGCTTCCCTCTGGTCTTGAATGGTTGAGTGTTTTCATGAGTGGGTACCTACCTAGTGTTAGGATTTGTACTTCTAATTAATCACATGTTAGCAGAGAGTGTGCTTCCTCTAAGCAAACGGACGTCAACTTACACACTTTCTGTGTGGCTTGAAATAGCATCTGAACAGGCTTAAGCAAAAACCTAAGGCATTGGTTTTCAAAGTGTGGTTTCTGGACTGGCAGCATGAGAATCACCTGGGAACTTGTTAGAAAGGCAGATTCCCAAGCTCCACTCCAGACCAACTGCACCAGAAACTCTGAGCATGGGCCCCAACAAAGTACTGTGTTTATAAACCTTACAGGTGATTCTATGTGGGACCTGCTAGGTTCAGGCATGATGTTGTCAGGGATCTGCCTCTCCTGTTGGCTTTGCTTGCCTTGCTTTCACCTTCATTTTCAGGTGGGTGGTACCTAGAGATCAACACTGGAGTAGCCAAGAATGCTTCTCAAACAGTGCCAGGAGAAAAACAAGAAAGCACTAGCCAAAGCCTTAGAGAGTATTCTCATGATCTGACCCTGCCGGGGCCATGTGTCCAGCCCTGTGGGAATGGGGGTACAGTGCTATATATGCATGCTCAGCCAAGGACTGAAGAAGTGGGGTCAAACCCACTTGGTCGTGTACTTAGGCTTGCTCAAATGGAAAGTAAGATGCTGTGACCAAAAACAGGGAGGAAGGATGCAAGGCAGGCAAAATGTACTTCCTCTCCTTGCCTGTTATTCTTTACTTACTACCTTACTGTGGTGTAGTGAATCATCTAATGTCTCCTCTAGCCATAGTCTGTAACTTCCACCAAACAACATTTTTGCCCTGCGGTGTCTGGGTAGAAGAAGGTGGGAGAAGATACTGATAGATTGACTCGATCTAGCTGTGGATATCAGCAGGGTTCATTGTATTTGTTAAAACTTGGAACTTTAGTATGTGTTTACAATAAGCCATCTCAGAAGCAGGAGGGGGGATCTCCCTACTATCAAAGAAGAGGAGCCAGGAGTGGAGGGTGTCAGTTGGCCCCCAAGATCCCTGTGCATTGAACCTCCATGACCCAGGACAGAAAGCTGTGACCCTAGAGGAGTGGCAGAGAAGTAGCAGCAGCAGAACCAAGACCCAGAGTGTGAGACAGAGCAGTGGACTCCCTGCCCATGGAGCAAGTCAAGCTGAGGGACACTGGGCAGGACACTTGCTTTCAGAGTGGGGTACCTCCAGACTCTTAATTGGAGGGGCTAGCTTTGCTGATCCACAGAGCTAGAGCCAAGTGCCTTTAGGCAGAGGCTTATGGTGGAGTGGTGTGTCCCCTGCGTATTTGTCAGCAGCCCTGTGAATTTTGTTAACATTCTGAGAGCAGAGACAGGCCTGTTTGAGGAGCACGGCTGGGGAGGGGCTGTCCTGACTCTGTGCCTTGAGCACTTTCTAATCTAGTGTTGTAACTTGTAACTGCTTTAATCAAACCTATAACTGGGAGGATGATGTCTGCAAATGGATATTGTTTTGAATACTCTTAAGTTGTTTTTTAACTTATATTCATTTTTTTACTGAACCAAAATATATCACGATTTTCACCTTAGATCAAGGTAGAGTACCAGGGACAGATTTTAGCTTCTACCTAAAACAACTGAAAAAAGGAACAAAATATATGAAACAATGACACTCAAGACAGTGGACATCAGGCAGTGAAAGACAGTAATATCTGAAAATAGCAAAGAAATGAGGTGATCCCTTGTTATTACTTCAGTTTATTTAGTGAGAAAAGTTTCTGGATCATGACTCAGCTAGACGCACTGAGGCAGTTGAGAGAAAGAACTGCGAGACCAGAGAATTCAAGGCGGTTCGTTTGCAGGACAGAATACTGGAGAAAAGAGAGCTGCGGTGATAGAGCAATCGATCTGCAAAGGTTCTTCTTTGGGTATTAATTGAATACTGATCAGTACATGCACAAGAAAAAACTGAGTCTGGAGAAAGAACCACCTGAAAGGATTTAGAGACAACAGCGCTTGGAGCCCACCCTTCCAGGGCCTTTTCTCAACATCCAGATTATAAAACTTCATAACTAAAAACAGCTAAACCAAAAACTCTTGGTCCTGCTTCATTGTTGTTGATAAGTGCCATTGAGTTGTTTCCAACTCTTATGGAAGCATAAAGTTTCATCTGTCTCTTGAGAAATGCCTGGTGGACTGGTATGGCTAACCTTGTGGATAGCAGCCCAATGCATAACCCATCCTACTAAACAATGCATAAAGTCAAGTCACAAAAGGATAAAACCTGTTCTAAGTAATCTAATAGCATTCTATAGCAAAGTGCAAGAATGTTTATAGGATATAAAAACACTCAGCACTTAACAAGGTGAAAAATTACAATGTCTGGAATTCAATAAAAAAAAAAAAAACTACCAGGTGTCCAAAGAAGCCTGTTTTGATTGAATATATATCCATGATGAGGAGAAAACTGATCAATCAAAACAGGCTCAGAAATGACACAGATGATTAAATTAGTAGACAAGGACTTTAAAACAGTTACTATTATATTCTATATGTTCAAGAAACTAAAGGACAGATGAAACATGCTAAGTAGAATCATAGAAGGTATTAAAAAAGGCCAAAATCAATCTTACAGAAATGAAAAGTATAATATCTGAGATGAAAAATTCACTGGATAGGATTAATGACTCATTAGATAAAGTGTTAACAATCGCAACTATCCAAGCAGTCTGGTAGCGTAGTGGTTATGAATCAGGCTGCTAACCTCAAGGTCGGCAGTTCGAAACTACCAGCTGTTCTGTGGAAGATGAGGCTTTCTGCTCCTGTAAAGATTTACAGCCTCGGAAACCCTATACAGGGTCACTATGAGTCGGAATCGACTCCACAGTACTTAACAACAACAACAACAAAGCGAAACACTCAGAGAAAAAGGCAACACAAAATGAACAAACCATCAGTAAACAGTGAGATGATTATATGTGTAATTGGAGCCCCTGCAGAAGAGAGAGAAGGTGAGGGACAGAAAAAGCTTTTAAAGAAAACTGTTTGAAACTTTTTCAAATTTGATGAAAATTACTCGATAGCAACTAACAACATCATAATCCTATAGATCCAAGAATCTCAATGAAACTAAAGTACAAGAAACATGAAGAAAACTATAACAAGATACATCACAATCATATTGCTTAAAACCAGGGATACAGCAGAAATATTAAAATCAGCTAGAGGAAAAATGCTCTATAAAGAACAAAGATAAAGATGACAGCAGATTTCTTGTTGTAAACAATACTTTTCAGAAGATAGAGTAACATTTTTAAAGTATTGAAAGAAAAAAAAATCAACCCAGAATTCTTTACCCAGTGAATAGTTTTCAAAAAGAAAGGCAAAATGAAGACTTTTTCAAATGTACAAATTCTGAAAGAATTCATTACCAGCCGACCTGCACCAAAAGAAATGTTAAAGTCCAACAACATTTGCTAAATAACATCTTTTCATCATTACTTTCAAATGTGTTTGTGTTGAAAGAAAATAATTCCTGATTAGTTTTATAAGCTTGTTTCTCTACAATAAATTACCCTATATTTGGTTCTGAAGATCATGTAATCAGAATTTTCTAAGCAATAATATCTGTGTACCTTCTGCAAGAGCTCCCCCTACTATTGCAAACCAATGCTTTGTATCCTTTTTCTGAAAAAATTATTTAAGTTTATTTTTTACTAATTTATTTTAAAGTTTATTTTTAAAGAGGTCTGCTGCACAAGACCTCTTTAAAGTGTCCAAGAGCAAAGATGTCAGTTTGAGGACTAAGGTGTGCCTGACCCACTCATGGATTTCCAGTAGCCTCATATGCCTGTAAAAGTTAGACATTGAATAAAGAAGGCTGCAGAAGACTATTAAAAGCACACTGGACTTCCAGAGGAACAAACAAATCTATATTTCGGACATATTATCAGGAGGGACTTGTCCCTGAGAAGAAGGACATCATTCTTGGTAAAGTGGAGGGTCAGCCAAAAAGAGGAAGACACCCAATGAGCTGGATGGACTCAGTGGCAGCAGCAAAGGGCTGAAGCGTAGTAGTAATTTATGTGCGATTGGCAGTGTTTTGTTGAGCATATGGTTGATAAGAGTCGATACAAACTCGACAGCACCTAACGACAACAACCAGATGACTTCTGTTCCAAGCTAGTTAAAATTTGAAACTATCAAGCAGCAGAGACAGAATACTGTAGCACAGAGGCAGCTTTGCGCACACACTTAGGTCCTTGCCCACCTGGCCGCCGCACTGTGGTGCAGGAGACTCAGTTCTAGAATTCGTACAAGACCAGGCAGTGTTTCCTTCTGTTGTGCATGGGCTCGCTATGAGTCAGAACGAACTCATCATCACCTAATAACAACAACAAACACATTGTCTTTTTAAGGCCTTATTGTGAATTGAGTGAAAGTTTACAAGACAGGTCAGGTTTACATTCAACAAATCATATCCTTTGTTTCATTACGATGATTATAAGCTCCACTATGTACCATCAGTTAACAACATTTCTCTCTATTCATTTTAGCTCTTTTTTTAAAAAACACTCAGGCATATATAATAATTTATACCACCAAAGGGCACATTCTGCAAGTCTGTCTCCTGGTTGCCAGCTCTTAGTCCCTCTCTTTCCATGAATCTAGAGTCCTCAACTGCTCCCTCTTGCCATGTCCCCATCTCTGCCTCCATCTCTGGTGTCCCTGCTCGGATAAGGTTATACATTCCACTTGTGCTATTCTTCCTTGATGGTCCTAGGGTCCTCTGTTTCTGGACTATAAGATTAACTACTCCCTCCTGTTTATTACAAATTGTTTTGTTACAATTGTGACAGTCACAATTAGTCATGATGACAATTACGCACTATTGAATCATAAGAATCTTATCCCTATCACCAGACCTATCTAGACAAGATGAAAATTATCCAATGGTGACTCTATCTTCCCACACACACTCTTAAACTAAAGTCCCTCTTGAAACCTTGTAAGCCCGTCACTTCATGCCTTTATCGCCCCCTCATTTTAGGTAGCCAACACAAACAAATTTTGATGTCTAAAAAGTCTATTGATATTTCTAACCATATGTATGAATTTCATATACTTTGTTATCTAAAATTGATGAAAAAAATATCCACATCCTTGTAACCCTCAAATTTACTAATTTTTTTTTTCTCTTAGAAAAAAATTCTCTTATGCATATGGTAATTTGGGGGGACCTCAGGCAGCCTAAGCAATGTGAGATTTGTTTGACTATCAGAGAGTTTAATGTTATAGGTTGAATGTTGTTGTTGTTGTTGTTGAGTGCCATCGAGTCGGGTCCGACCCATAGCGACCCTGTACAGGGTTTCCGAGGGTGTAAATCTTTACGGGAGTAGAAAGCCTCATCTTTCTCCCGCGGAGCGGCTGGTAGTTTCGAACCGCTGACCTTAAGGTTCGCAGCCCGATTCGTAACCACTACGCTATATATAGGTTGAATATGTTCCCCCAAAATGTATGTTGTAAATCCTGACCTCTTTGCCTGTGGTTATAATCCCATTTGGGAATGGTTTGACTTTGTTATGCTAATGAGGCAGGGTTAGTGGAGGGTGTATCTTGAGTCATTCTTTCTTGAGCTATAAAGAAAGATTAAATAACAAAGCAGAGAGCTGTTGTTAAGTACCTTCAAGTTAGTTCTAACTTATAGTGACCCTGTATAGTGTTTCCAAGGAGTGGCTGGTAGGTATGAGCTACTGACCTTGCAGTTAGCAGTCCAGTGCTTAATCTATAGTGACACACCAGAACTATAAACAGAAATAAAAAGATAGGGAAAGACTGATGCCAAGCCTCATAGAGATCTCCAAGGAACCAAAACACAAAAGCTGAAGAATCGAGGACCTTCCCCTAGTGTTTGACAGCGAAAGTCTTCCCTTCCAGCTGGTGCCCTGAATTTGGACTTCTAGCCTCTTAAGCTGTGAGAAAATAAATACCTGCTTGTTGACGCTCCCCACTTGAGAACTAAGACACTTGGTTTGTCTTTCATATTGGGTTACCTGGTTCTATACTCATTGCTTAGACAAAGACTCAACAAGATATAAAACTTTTAACTAGAATGCTCTTGCTGGGCTTTGTCTGGTCATTGGCACAACAGTCAGTTTAGGTAACTGAGAGAAAAGGTCAACAGAAGCTGATTGCAATGTTTGTTTTGTTTTTAAAAGGCATAGTGGAGCTGCAAGAGAAGGTATCCACAACCTCACCAAAACCTTAGCTTTGGAATGGGCCAGCAGTGGAGTAAGGATGAACTGTGTTGCACCTGTAGGTAAACTATTTATGTGAAAGCTGTTGACAAATTGTGCTTTTCTCAAACCATTTATGCTGTTGATAGGGGTATATGTACATGTAGTAATGAAGATTTACTTTACAAAATACAGATGAAATCAGAAAGTCTAATTTGTATTACAGCAGATTGTCTTTTTGACAATCAGATTGTTACAAAGGTTATATTAAGTTAATGATTCTCAATTTTGGTTGTATATTAAAATTATCTGTTAAACGTTTGAAAAATAGTGATATATAAACTTAACCCCAAATCGTGGGGTCCAGGCATCTATATTTGTAAGAGTTCCCTTGGAAATTTAAATGCACATTGAAGGTTGAGAATCACTGCTTTGAAGAATGAATTTTTTAAAGCTTACTTGGTATTTCTTTGCACACCATTAATCCTTTTCCAGGAAAAAGAGAACCCTAAAGTCAGAGTTTTTTGGAGAGGAACTCCCAGTTAAAGAGTCTCTGAAATATTAAGTAAATGACAAGAAAAATAATCACAATGTAGTCAACTTCAAAACTATCATTTTTTTGTGAAGTAAGCCATAGCTTAAGCATCCTTATTACGTACTGATTTGTACTCCAAAAGAGACATTACACTAAATATCTGTCATTCTACAAAACTCAACTTCCTCCAAAATTCCATTTCTTCTGTGAAGTTTCCTAGTCATTATTATGATAATCATCTCCACCTGGAAAACCCTTGCATCTGTGGATATGATCTATAGTTCTAGTTGTATAGTATGCATAGATGCCATTGTCCATACTACTCAGTGGCAACTAAGTATGAACTTAGTTCACACTTGTTGAAGTCAGTAGAAAAATGTCTCCAACAAAATTGCAAGGTTCTGGAAGCCAAAGACTTCATATCCCTTCAGTCCTCCATAACTTACATTGTTCTTGTTGAATACCATCAAGTTGGTACCAACTCACAGTGACTCTGTGTAGGGTTTCCAAGGAGCAGCTGGTAAGTTTGAACCACTGACCTTATGGTTCAAACCGACCTTGTGATCCAGTGTTTTATCCCACTGGATAAAACCTACCCATTTCCACTCAAATATCCCAAACCCACTGCCATCGAGTCGGTTCCTACTCAGAGTGATCATATATAGGATTGAACTGCAAAGTCAGTGGTTCAAGCTCACCAGCTGCTCCTTGGAAACCCTATACAAGGTCGCTATGGGTCAGAATCGACTCGACAGCACTTAACAACAACAACAAAACAACAAGGTCTTTATAAAGCAGACAGCCTCATCTTTCTTGCACAGGACATCTGTGGGTTTGAACTGCCAACTTTCTGGTTAGCAGCCCAATGCCTAACCGAGAGTGACATCAGGACTCTTTCAGGTATTTATAGGGAAAACTAAATATAGTACAGTCTTAATGTTAGTACCTTGGAATAATGGCTCTCTTGGACATTTTTCATAGTATGTTACTATTATAAGTACAGTTTTAACTCATGTTTGTCCTCTAGAGAATCTGCAGCTTTCAAAGGTTATAAGCAGTTTGATTGGAAGCCAATATGTCTCCCCAGTATCATCTGGAGTAATTAATACTTCCAAATATTTCTCATCTTAGTTTCACCTCATTTTTCTTCTCTCTCCTCCCCATAACTTCTGTGTAGGTATAAGCCAACAACAAAAAGTTTTATTATCCTGTTGTATACAGTTTTTTATAACACTATTTCAAAGCCCTTGAAAACTATTGAAAAATAAAGAAAAGAATTCTTAATTAAAATGCTAGCTTATTTATATTAGTTTTAAATGTTTTGTTTGTAATTTCACTCAGTGAAAAGCCAAGACAACATTGCATTTTCTAAAGGTCTCATTTAGCCATTGGCCGGTCTCTCCTTGCAAAGAAGCCAAGTTCCATTGTTCCTAGTCAAGGCCTTTCTAAATTACTCATACAATTAGGCCTTATAGGAGCCAAGTCTTTTATGAACAAAATCCAAGGCTTGATTGACTATTAAGGGAAAAGAGATCACAGACTGAGCATTCAGATAATCCAAGTTGACTTCCAAGAAATTTGGAAGATGGCTAAATTCATATTTGTGTCCATTTCAGTGGAATGTGGAAATCATTGAACAATATCATTATTATCACAAGCAAGTAAAATTATGCTGAAGATAATTCAAAATCAGTTGCAATAGTACATTGACAGGGAACTACCAGAAATTCAAGCTAAATTCAGAAGAGGACATGAAACTAGGGATATCACTGTTGACATCACATGGATCTTGGCTGAAAGCAGAGAATATCAGAAAGATGTTTACTGTACTTTATTGACTATGCAAAGTCTTTTGACTGGATCATGACAAACTATGGGGAACATTGTAAAGAATGGATTATTTCAGAACACTTAATTGTGCTCATGAGGAATCTGTACATAGACCAAGAGGCAGTTGTCCAAATAAGACAAAGGGAAAAGTGCTTCTGGAGTGTATCCTTTCACCATATTTATTCAAATCTGTATGCTGAGCATATAATCCGAGAAGCTGGATTATATAAAGAAGAACACAGCATCAGAATTTAAGGAAGACTCACTAACAATCTGCGATATGAGATGATACAACCTTGCTTGCTGGAAGCCAAGAGGACTTAAAATACTTACTAATGAAAATCAAAGACTACAGCCTTCCATAAAGGATTGTACTTCAATGTAAAGAAGATAAAAATCCTCACAACTGGACTCATAAATAACATCATGATAAATGAAAAGATTGAAGTTGTCAAGGACTTCATTCTTCTTGGATCAAGTATCAACACTCATGGAAGCAGTAGTCAAGAGATCAAATGATGTATTGCGCTAGGTAAATCTGCTGCACAAGACCTCTTTAAAGTGTTTAAGAGCAAAGATAACAGTTTGAGGACTAAGGTGTGCCTGACCCAAGCCCTGGTGTTTTCAGTAGCCTCATATACATGTGAAAGTTGGACAGTGAATAATGATGATTGTAGAATAATCGATGGTGTTAGAGAAGATTATTAAAAGTACTGCCAGAAGAACAAACAAATCAGTTTTGGAAGAAGTGCAACCAAAATGTTCCTTAGAAGCCAGGATGGTGAGACTTCATCTATCATACTTTGAACATGTTATCAGGAGGAACCAGTCCCTGGAGAAGGACAACATGCTTGGTAAAATGGAGGGTCAGTGAAAAAGAGGAAGACCCTAATGAGATGCACTGATATGATGGCAGCAGCAGTGGACTGAAATATAACAATTGTGAGGATGGCCCAGGACTGGGCAGTTTGTGATTCTTTTGTGTATAGGGTCTCTATGAGTTGGACGTGATTCGGTGGCATCTAAGACCACCAGTTGAGTATTCTAAGACAGTTTTGAGAAAAACTCATATGAGATAAAGGAACACTGGTGGTGCTGTGGTTAAAGTATTTATAGGAATGTTTCTAGTGAATTTAGTCCACTTAATTATCTGGAGTGGAGCCCTGTTGTTGTGTGGTAGGATAAGCATTGGACTGCTAACCATAGATTGGTGGCTCAAACCCACTGGCTTCTCCTTGGAAACACTATTCAGAGTTGCTATGAATAGAAACTGACTCAATGACACTTAACAACAGCAACAGTTTTCTGGTGTGGCGCTGAAGCTCTAATCAGGAGGTTGCTTGTTCAAAGCCACCAGCCACTCCTTGGAATCTCTGTATAGGGGAACAGTGGGTCAGAACCAACCCAATAGCACTTAATAGCACTTAAAATTTTTTTTCTGGTATGGAGCCCTGATGGCAGTGAGTAAGTAAGCACTTACTGCTAACTGAAAGGTCAGAAATTCGAACCCACCAGCTGCTCGATGGGAGCAAAATGTGTCAGTCGGCTTCCATCGAGAACGCAGACTTAGAAACTCATGGGGCAGCCCTCCTCAATACTATATGCTGCTATGAGTTGGAACCAACTTGGTAGCATTGGATTTAACTTTCTGGTGTTAGTTGCGGATCATTAGAGACAATCTTTGGGCTGTCAATACAGTCTTTACAAAATGTCAATACAGTCTTTACAAAAATGTCTTTACAGTCAACATTTAACTTTATGTACTATATTTTGTTTCTGTTTTTTTTTCTAATCGTAGGGAACCATTTACTCTAAGACTGCTTTTGACAACTATGGTCATATGGCAGATGATTTATTTGGGAATTTTAGGAATATCCCAGCTAAGAGACTTGGAGTTCCTGAAGAGGTAAGAGACATTTCCAGCATTGGTGAAAATTACTGGGTTTTATACCTTGACAATTTGTAACATTTGCTACCCTTTTTATATGACCTGGTTTTCTGATAGAAATTATTTCTCCCACTACTTCCAAACCATTTCCTCTATGCTTCTGTTTGTGTTTTGGATACTAGCCACAGCCTTTACTGAGGAGTGAATGCAGTGTGAAATAAGAACAGCATGTTTAATTCTTTGATTGCATATCTCAACTACATTATCTTATTGCTTGGTACTTTTCAATATATAGGACCCTCAGTAAATCAGATCATTGTGACTATATGAAGTTCTACACAAAATTTCAGTATGGAAACCAGATGTGAATATGTAAATACCAATAGCTTTTAAAAATGCTAACAATACCAGTCTTAAAATGCAATTACAATATATGTACTTTTTTGCAATGATAATAAAAACTAAAATGCCCAGGATTAAATTTATCTCTAAAGGGTAAAATAACAACAACAACAATAACAAAAAACTAAAGAACAGAAAGACCAAAATAAACACGAAACATGTCATATTTCTCAATGGAGGTAATCAATTTTATTTAAAAGTCCGAGTTTCCATAAATTAATCTACAGACTTGCTGTTATGTGCCCTTGACTCAGTTCTGACAGGGTTTCCGAAGCTATATCTTTACAGGAGCAGAAAGCCCCATCTCTCTCCAGTGGGGTGGCTGGTAGAGTCAAATTGCTGACCTTGAGGTTAGCAGCCCTGTGCATAACCCACCATGCTGCTAGAGCTCCTTCATAAATGTATATACTCGGAATTTAGCAAACTGATTCAAAAGTTTATCTAAGAAAAATATTTATGCAAGAACAGCCAAAAACATCTTGAAAAATAATGGCAGAATTTTCTTTTACAGATATCAGAATACTATAAAACCAAATAGCCCTGTAGCATAGTGGGTTACTAACCACAGGTCAGCAGTTTGAATCTACAAGGTGCTCTGCAGGAGAAAGATGAGACTTTCTGCTCCCATAGAGATTTATAGCCTCAGAAGCCCTATACAGTGTTTCTGTGAGTTGGAATGCACTTAATGGTATACCACAATAAAACTAAATAAGGAGACTACATATAAATGGACACAATGATTTTAAGTCTGGGTACTTATACTGTAACTGAATGAAATTATTGGAACAGACTGGATTCTTGATTCAGACCAGATATGCATGTAGTTTAGTATAGGATAAAAATAGTATTTCAAATCTATGAGGAAAGCAGGAGTCATACAGCAAAAGCTTTGAAGTAATTGGTTATTCATTTAGAAGTAATTAAATGAGATCCTCTTATCTCCTATCAATATAACTTTCAGATATATTAAGGGACTAAATTTTTTTTAAGCTATTAAAAGAAATAGAGTACCAATTCATATAACTACCTTTCATTATCAGTTTGATGTGTCTTTCAGAAAGTTACTATGTATAAACACAAAAATATGTATGTGCGTGTACCTATATTTGCATTTCTGAAAAATGGGATTCTACTTTATGCTTTTTGTCACAACTTGTTATGGATATACCATAATATATTTAATCAGACCTTATGGTTGGACATTTAGATTTTTATTATATAGATTCTTTCAATAAACATTGTTATAATAATTCTATAGTGAATCCTTGAATATCATCATGCTCTCCTGTGCAAAGTACACTTAAAATTCTAGGAGATAATGTGAAATCATTAGATGAAACATGTTATTCTCAGAGCTAATTTTTAATCAAAGGAATGATATAATTTTCATTTTGAACATAATATTCTTTATATGTGCATTGTATTATTATAAGGAATAAGAAAGAAAGAGACAAGGAGAGAAGCGTGGCTTCAACAGCAGGCAGGTTTATTGAGAGTAAACCTGGGAGGGAGTACACTAAGTCACCAAAGGAGACCAAGAGCCCACCTGTTTTCTTACAGACTGGGGTATTTAAGGCGGTATGGTCTGATACAGTTCTGGTGAGTTTTCAATGGGTGGGGTTATGGAGATTTTCCTGAAACTACCAGGGAAAGGGTCTTTTGGTATAATAAAGACTTAAGCTTTCCAGAGACCAGAAGCTAAAGCAGGACTTTATTCAGCGACACTTGGTGTACCTGCAATGCCATTTTGATGATCAGGAGCAGGGTCCTTCAATAATTGATTTTATTGTATTAAAATCAAAACAGAAACATTTACATTCTTATTAATTTAAATGTAATGGTAACAAATGTGTCACATACTAACATAACATTTTTAAAGTGAAAAATACCTCCATTTTCCAGAGCAAAACAAGAAGCAATTCAGTGGAAAGAATGGCATTGTTAATGCGTGGTTTAGTAGAATAGAACTGGATTATCATATCTTCCCTGCATTCAATCTTTTGCAGTATGTTGTTTTGGTTAAAGTATATGAAGAAAATCTGCCCTCACACTGATATGCAGATGGCAAAGGGAGGAACTATTAATAAGCTTTTCAGATAATTGTGGAATTTCTTGAAAAACAGTGGCTAGTTTAGCTTGATACTCAATCACACATTCTTTTCCTTAAAATAGCCATTATCCTTTATGTGCAGCCAAAATATATTTTTAAAATGGATACTTAAGGGTAGTGAGATAGTATAACGATTTTAACTGCTTCATAAAGGACTTTCTAAAGTTACATTGCCCTTCCCTTCCCATGAGTACTTGCAAGTAAAGAATAGTATAATGACTCAAAACTCACTACCACCTAGTCAATTCTGACTCATAGTGACCCCACATAGGGTTTCAGAGACTGTTAAGTCTTTACTGGGGCAGACGGCCTCATCTTTCTCTTGCAGAGCAGCTGGTGGTTTTCACCTGCCAACCTTGTGGTTAACAGCCGAAGGCGTACCCCTACAGTACCACCGGGGCTTGTAAATATAATGACTTGTCAGTAAGTGCTGTCAAGTTAGTTCTGACTCATAGCGACCTGTGTAGAGTTACCGAGGAACGGCTGGTAGGTTTGAGCCACCAACCTTGTGGTTCAAACTGACCTTACAGTCCAGTGCTTATCCTACAGTGCCATACCAGGACTCCAAATCTACCCTTTCATGTTACTGCCTTGGTTCATGCTTTAGTAGTTTTTCCACCATTGCCTTTGCAACATTCGTGCAAATGTCAACACAGTGAAAAAGATAAAAAAGGCCTTAGTATTATTATCAAGACCGTTTTGACCTTGCATACTCCTGAAAAGGTCTCAGGGACACCCAGGAATTTGCTAGCCGCACTTTGACAACTGCTAAGTGGGTGATTCCTTCAGAAAGCTTGATTGTGAAGGGAAAGAGAGATGAATAAAGAAAGCCTTCATGGGAAGAGAAATTTGAGGACATAAATGGGATGGTGGCCAGGAATGAGATGAAGACACAGCAGGGGAAGAGAGGGTGAACTCTGACGGGAAAGGAGTGAGTGGCTTCTCAGGTAGGGCTGGGGGCACCCATGGGCTCAGACTAACACTGAGGTGGAAGTGAAGTTGCATCCTTGTTCAATCCTGCTTCCTTCATGTCTTTTCCATTAGCTCCCCTTCAGTGTACCCGGTGTGCTCGAATCTCTACCTGCTCTGCTTCTAGGGAACCTGACCGAGGTGGACATGACCACCATTCCAACTATCACACTTGATCAGGGGGACCTGCAAAGTGGAGGAGCTCCATCCAAGTACAGGAATATGATTGGAAGCAGTTTCCCAACCAGGTCTCCCGAACATAGGAACAGTCACTAAACCAGGCCTCAGGAACCTGGAAACAAACACACCACCAGCTTCTGGTTTCCAGGGCACTCTTAGCACCAAGAATTGTTCCTTCAGACCCTGGTGTTAGCCCACTCACTCACTCGGTCCCCTCTCTCTCTGCCCCCATCTCTCTCTCCTGCTACTACCGTCAGCCTGAGGAGACAGAAACAAACTGCTTGTTTTAACAGAAAATTTAGTATGAATATTCATTAATATTGATATTGTTAACTAGAATAAAAACTAGAAACAAAAAACGAGAATTAGGTAGCTTACAGAATAAAAGAGAATACTAAGGTTTCACAGGTGAGGCGGTGCACTTGTAGAATTCTTGCCCTCCATGCAAGAGACCCTGTTCTGTTCCAGCCTGTGCATGTTGTGCACAGCCGCTACTCATCTGCCAGCAGAGAGCTTTCAGCAGAACTTTCAGACTAAGATGGACCAGGAAGAAAGGCCTGGTAATCTTCTTTTGAAAATCAGCCTTTGAAAACCCTATGGATCCCAATGGTTCCATTTACAAGAAATTGCGGGGGTGAGCCAGGGCTGGGCAACATTTCTTTTTGTGCATAGGGTCACCTTGAGTCAAAACCAATTTGATGGA